TGGTATTCAGTTAAGTGGCAGTAGTTAATAGAGCAGAGGACTGTAATATTAGCAGACACCAGAGCAGGGGAATACAGAGCTGTAGGCAGCAGGGCAATAATTATATGATAGAAACAATCCCAAGTACATCCTCTGAGTATTTTCTAAAGAAAACAATGAAGGGAATTGTGTGATCTTGGGTTACTCAACTTCTCTGAAAAGAAAAATGTGGGTAATAGTAAGTGTACTCTATCATTACTGGGACAAAATACCTGATACTCACAAGCTAAAGGAAGAAAGGTTTATTTTAGCTCACAGTGTGTAGAGGTTTCAGTCCAGATGGCTCTAAGGTAGGGTGGAGGGGCATGGCAGAGGAGAGACAGTTCATAGCTGGGCAGGCAGAGAGCAGGAAGCAGCAAGCCTACCTTTCAAGAGTATTGGTTGATGCCACTCATACCCAGGGTGGGGCTTTACCCTTCAGTAATCCCATCATCCACATCTACACTAAAGCAATCAGTGGACTGGACTAATTCACTTATCACACCCATAGTCTAATGTTACACACCCAGCCACCTTCCTAAATCCCCACTTATGAGCCCATGAGGGTTTGGGGGAAACATCTAGATGTAAGCCATAACTGTACTTTTCCTAGGTTTGTTGTATTGCATCATATAATAAACTTTGGAAATAAATATATCAGTTGTTGCATCAATGTTAATTTATTAACTGAAAAAGGGGATCATTTACAGTTACTCCAATACTGGTCCTACTATTCTGAGAAAAGACCAGTCACATTACTACCTCTGTGTGCTTGTGCTATTTATTTATTTATTTATTTATTTATTTATTTATTTATTTATTTTGCTTAGAATGCTCTTCTAGATATCTTTGTGCCTAGATCCCTTATCTCCCTAAAGTCATGTACTCTAATGATACCTTTTCTTTTCTTTTTTTTTCCTGATAACTTTTCAATGGGTACCTTTTTTTTTAACAGATGATTTCAACTTTTATTGAATGAGGACTTTTATTTTTTAACATTACAAACCAACTCAGTCTTTCTGAAAAGGCAAGTCATACACTCAGGCAATCTTCAAGCATTGTTTTAAGAAATTGAGGGGGAAATCCACAGTTCAGTGATAAGAAGATTCACAACTTTTTTTTACAGTAATAATGGCAGGAATTGCATTACATTTCAAACCTAAGGTAGTCCAAACTATATCCAGGACAGACTTCAAAATCTAGGAAAGATGACATAAACTGGACAGTTATGAACAGTGCTCATAACAATTTTGGCTCCAACAACATAGAACAAATGCTTGCTTTGTATTGAGCCCAGGCTGGCCTCAACTCATGGCAATCCTCCTGGCTCAAGGCTCCTGAGTGCTAAGATTACAGGTGTGCACCACCATGCCCTGCTGTAGTTTGTAGTTTTATCTAATACAAATAGACTAGGTATTGTAGTTTATCTTTTAGTTTTGTTTTCTGTTTCTCCCCACTAGAATATAAATTCCTTGAAATACGGAGTTTAAATTTTTTTTTTCACTGCTATGCCTTTAGGTGCCTATAAGAATGCCTGGCACAGAATCGACACCTAAGTATTAGTTTAATAGATTAAAGAAGTTTGCCAACCAGAGCATCCCTTTCCTGCTACTAGGCAAGTGGGAGGTCTCTGTGCATAATGATATCTTTTGCTAATCTCAACAGATATTAAAAAGTACCTGAAGCTGCTACTAACCCTTGGAATAATTTAAGCTTATCACTCATTTATTCCACTCATTCATTTATTCACCCACTGGTCATATCCCTAAATGTGCCGGATACTACATACTATCCTAGTCCTGGAGATTCAGTGACAAACTTTTATGGGACTTATATTCTAGTTTGGTACAGGGACAGAGTTGAGATGTGCAGAGAACAGGAGAAGCATATTTCTTTTTTTTTTTTTTTTTTGGTACCAGGGATTGAACTCGGGTCCTTGCGCTTGCGCAGCAGGAGGCGAAACCACTGAGCTAAATCCCCAGCCAAGAAGCATATTTCTTACCACTGTCATTTCACCATGTTAGGTGTATTCTTGGTGGGGGGAGCGGTTCTGGGTATTGAATTCAAGGCCTATTCAAGTTTATGAGTTATGTCCCCAACCCAGGCATACAATTATAAGCCTTTGTTATCTCTATTCTCCCATATTTTTCTTACAGTTCTCTGTGTTATCTCCCTTTGACTTACTTGACTTACTTTGGTTTTTTTTGTTTGTTTGGGGTTTTTTTGAGGGAGTGTCTCCCTTTGAAATTCAGGCTGGCCCTGAACTTACTATGTAGCCCAGGCTGGTCTTGAACTCGAAGCAATCCTCCTGCTTCAGCCTCCAGAGTGTTGGGATTACAGGTGTGCGTCACCATGCCCAGCCAAGAGAGTTCTTTCTTTTTTTTTTGGTACTGGGGATTGAACTCGGGTCCTTGCACTTTCGAGGCTGGCGTTGGAACCACTGAGCTAAATCCCCGGCCCCAAGAGAGTTCTTGTTAAAGTGATTTGTTTTAGAAAATAATGCAAAGCGTTACATGTCAGAAAAAGAATTTTACTGGGCTGGGGATTTAGCTCATTGGCACTGCTGCTGCCTTGCAAGCACAAAGTCCCAAGTTCAATCCCCAGTACCAAAAAAAAATTACTTAATGAGATCCTATATCTTTTTTTTTTTTTACTGATTTTATAGATACTACTTACTACTTTAAGGTGTAGCTTTTATTTTTAAATTTTTTATTTTTTTATTTTTTTGGTACTGGGGATCGAACTCCGGTCCTTGCGCTTGCAAGGCAAGCGGCAGAACCACTGAGCTAAATCCCCAGCTTAAATTTTTTATTTTTATTAGTCCATGTTTGCAGTACATAATGATTGCAAGCATTGTGGGGAGTTGATAAATGTACATAACCCATATTCTTTTTACTTTCCCTTGAGATTGTATTTAATAACTAGCACAAAATGGATACAAATAAGTACTGTAATAAAGATTCCATTTTCTAGCAGATTGCACTTTTGTTAAGGAGACTAGATAGAAAAATGTGAAATTGGGAATGGATGCTCATACCTATAATCCCAGCTACGTGGGAGGCTAAGGCAGGAGGATTACAAATTCAAGGCCGGCCTGGGCAATTTACCAAGACCCTGTCTCAAAATTTTAAAAGTACATTAAAATTAAGGGAGTGTAATTGCAATCCTCAAACATGTGGTTATATTTGTTGTATTGGCATAATCAGTGACTTGTACATTCAGCAGTAGCATTTGAGCAAGTTTTAACAGCAAGCAATATTTTCAGTTAAAGTTTCAAAAATCATTTAAGAATGGAGTTAAACTTGCTGAATGTAGATTGAACCTTGTCACTGTAGCTTTAGTAATTGCTTATTGTATTAGTTTAGATGTTAGCACTGCATGTGCTGTGCATATTCTGATTTTATTAAAATAAAAAGTTGAACTGCACAGTCTCCTTTGTTCTTGTTCAATTGTGGTTTTTAGAAATGAAAATAAAGTTGTGCTTTTGCCTGAATTAAAAAAAAAAAAAATTAAGGGAGTGTATCTCAATGGTAGAGTTCTCCTGATTTTGACCGCCATACAAAAAAAAAAAAAAAAGTGAGCTGGGTGTGGGTGAAGGACCCTAGTTAGCAAGACAGACTTCACATTGCTGCTTGACAAATGTTCTAACAGCAGGACGTTCTGCTTCTGTACCTTTTGCTCGCTTTACTAGTTCTATCCCATAGGGGGGCCTAGAAACTGTTGCCCTCAAAGGTGTATAAAACGTATTTGTCAACCCCCAGTCGAGGCACGAGTCCGATGCTCGGCTCGGGTTCTGGCCGGTAATAAACTCCTGTGTGGATTTAATATCGGTCTCTGGTTGGTTCTCTCTCACTGGGTGCAACAGTGGGCATGCCTTGTAATCCCAGCATTTGGGAAGCCGAGGCAGAAGAATCACAAGTTTGAGGCAGCCTGCGCTCTATACTCAGTTAGAACCTAGTCTGAACTACATAGCAAGACTCTGCCTCTAAAACAAAGCAAAACAGACGAAAAACTCAAGCTGTGAAAAGAAATAATATTATAAAGAAACGTAGTGCTCCCGTCTTATCCACATTCCCCTCCTAATCAAGTCAGTTTAGTTTCTCTTGTGTCCCTGATCATTCTGGGACACAAATATAGCGATATTTGTAACCAACCATGTTTGTTTGGACCCGTGTGCGTGCGTGAGTGCGTGCGTGCGTGTGTGTGTGTGTGTGTGTGTTGTACTGGCATTGAACCAAGGGCCTTCACCCTGAGCTACATTCCCAGCCCTATTTTTAGTTATTTTTTATATTTAAATTTTTTTTGATTTTTATAGACGAGAGTCACAGTATAGTTCAAGCTAAACTTGAACTCATTATGTGGCCCAGGATAGGCTCGAACTTGCAGTGATTCTCTTTCAGTCAGCCTCCCAAATGCTGGGATAATCTTTCATTTTGAGATAGGGTCTTATTAAATCATTAAATTCCCCATGTTGGGCTCGAACTTGCAGTCTTCAGCCTGCCAGAGTGCTGGGACTACAGGCACGCGCCACCACACCCGGCTTCCCCATCCTTCGATTTCCCTCAGTTTCATCTTTTCTAGTATTCAGCCCAGGATTTTCTTTCCTTTTGTCCTCACAGTGAGGAGTGCTGGAGGGAATAATAATCTGCAGAGGGTCTGAGCCGTGAAGAGTGACGTTTTACTCCTTTTGGAAGCCAGGCTTGTGAAGAACCGGGGTATTTATACTGTGTACCTAGTTATCGAGGATAAAGGTTCCCAGAAAAGCACATTACACAGAAACATGACCTAAATTCATGCACTGGAGTCTTTTTTTTTTTTTTTTGGTACCGAGGATCGAACTCAGAACCTTGCGCTTGTGAGCCAGGCACGGTGCCACGGAGCTAAATCACCGGCCCTACACTGGAGTCATTTTAACAAAGGCAGTACAAACAGGAGGGGCTTAAGTATACTTGAAAGAAATCTGTGATAAGAATCAGTCTGGCCAGAGAGGAGACCACACTGCTCAGAGGCGACTCCTGGAAGGCAAGGCTGGAAAAGAGGCAGTCTGACGGCATTACTTAACATTTCAAATTCCAGATACTAAAGAGACACAGAGACAGCTCTGCATTTATCTCAAGGTAAAACGTGCCACTCCTGGTAGGGGCAGGGTTTAAAACTAACAAGCGAATTCTTTGCTCTGTAGAACTCTGCGTAGCTCTGCCGCGCGTTTCCAGCCCTAAAATATCTCGCAGTACTTTTCTGACCCGTCCTACCCCTCCCCCACAAGGCGGGAATTTTTCCGGAAGTAGCTGCCCTTAACTAGGCAGTCTTCCGCCGGAAGTGACGTCGGTACCCCAGAATCCTCAGAGAAGGTGAAGCGCGGATCTGAGTTCGGCATGCTGCTAGGGTCAGAACGTCTAGCCAACGTCATCTGATTCTTGCTAAAAGTGTTTTCGTTTGTCCTCTGTCAGCAGAGACTTTCGCGGCCCGTTTGTGGCTGCAGAAGTCCCCTTTGTATATTGGTGTAGGAGCTTGTGCCGGGCTGCGCGGCCCCTGACCAGGCTTCATCATGTTGGTGCTGTTTGAGACATCGGTTGGCTACGCCATCTTTAAGGTATATGGGAGATTGAGCAGCTGGAGGGGGAAAGGTCAGAGTTGGACAGGCGAGGGGCAGGATGACTTCAGGAGAGGACTAAAGTATGCTGGGTCGTATAATGCCTTGTAAATCCCCGGGCTCAGGAAGACAGTGGAAGGCCGCAGGGCCCGCGTTTTGGCGAACACGTGGCCCTGCCGTTTGGGGCTACCTAATCTGCCTTAGAGGGTTTGGCCCAGTGGAAGAGTTTTGGAGCCGGTGATAGAGTTCGGATTTCATTCTGGATGCTTTGTGGAGTAATCGAAAGCTTTTAAGCAGAGGAGTGACCTGATGTTATCCTCACACACATACCAACTACTGGGGCTTGAACTCATTACTGAGCTAAATCCCCAGCCCGCTTTTTAAATTTTTTATTTTGGGACGGTTTTGCTACTTTCCCCACTTGGTCTCGAACTTGCAGTTCTCCTGTCTCAACCTCCCAAAGTCCTGGGATTACAGGCATGTGCCATTACGCCCGGTTTAATTTGTAAGAAGACTTTGTTTCAGCCCGGGGATTTAGCTGTGGTTTCGCCGCCTGCTGCGCAAGCGCAAGGATCCGAGTTCGATCCCTGGTACCAAAAAAAAAAAGAGGATTTTGTTTCAAGACTAGATTGTAGGGAGGCAAGAAAGGAAGCGAGGATATTTTTGCTTTAGTTTGGGCGAGATAGGATTGCTTAGATTAAGATCTATGTGGCGGGAAATATTGATTTTTCTTTTAAAGCTGAAATTGACAAGTTGGCTGAGGGGTGATTGTAGGGTTTTGGTTTAAGTAAGATGATTGTTAAGTATGTAGGATTTGGGCTGTGTGAAATCTGCGTTGTCTGCTGGACGTGATGATATAATTCTGTATTTCAAATTTGAAGCTTAGAGGAGAAATCTGAATGGTAACAATCAGCTTGAGACTTGATTTTTTTTTTTTTTTTTTTTTTCCTTTACGGTACTGGGGATTCAACTCAGGACCTTGGCTTGTGAGGCAGGTGCGGTGTCACTGAGCTGAATCCCCGGCCCTACTTGATTGTTTTTATATAGAGGGTTTGGAATTAATGTACAAGCTGATCAGCACGAAAGTAATTATGCGGTGAGACTTTAGTACAGTTGGGATGTTAGGATGAGGTAGGTTGAATACTTTCTATGTGCTAGGCAGGCAGAGGTCTGGGAGCATAGGAACAAAAAGCAAAAGTTTTCGTGTTCTAGATTATTGTGTTGATATAAAGTAAAAAATGCTAGGTAAAACATGTATGGTACAGTTCTAATTTTCTAATTGGCTGTTACAGTTGTCAGGGTTATTAGCAGGTTACTGTTCAACATATGTAACCTAGTATTACAGAAGTAACAAAGTCAAGCAGAATATATAGAAATACTATTGCGTTTATAATTCAGAATTAATATTATTGATCTTTCCTGAAATAAAATAGATATACAAAACATTCTGGAATTACATAGCAATAGTTGCACAGTTTTGTAAAAAGATACTGTACATTTAAAGGTGAAGATTATAATATGAATTGTCTTAAAAGACAGTACAAGTTTATTAGCTCCTATAATCTTTTTAAATGTTGGGGTGTTGAAAAAAATTTGTGTGTAAGAATTCTTTAAGCTTTTTGTACCTCAGTTTACATCGAGGAATATATTATATATAATTCATTGTACTCTCTTGGGAGGGGCACACCGGAGATTGAACCGGGACCTTGCAGTGGCGACATCACTGAGCTAAATCCCCAGCCCTCATATGCATTTTTATATAGCGATTTTTTAAAAAACATTTTTAAAGTCTTCTATTAATTAACAGGGTTATATAGGACTGGGTTTAGAACAGTGGAGGCCCAGGGTTCAATCCACACGCACACACACACACCCAAAACCCACTAGGTTGTAGACACCCAGATGTAAAGATATCTAAAGAAACAATATGTATAGCTCCTTATAGAACATTACAAAAATGTAGCTTGTGTCACATTGTCCTCAGCATTAGGTAAAAGACAGTCTTTATAGTCATGTTCTTTCCAGGGTTTTTTAGCTGTACTATCCAGTGTAGTAACCACTAGCTACATACTGCTCTTTGACGCTTGAAACTTGGCTAATAGGACTGAGGGGTTTGTTTTGGTTGTTCTGGGGATCAAACCTAGGCCCTTGGGCATGTTAGATAAGCACTACCACTGAGCTATATTCCCTGGCATTCCTTTAAAGTTTTGAATAATTAAAATTTTTGCAGTCACATTGTTTAGTACAGCCCTGTAGTTTAGTGTTGTGTTTCTTCATTTTCTCAACATTTGGAAGAAGAATTTTATTAGTTTGGATATTTAGATGTTGTTTTGTGTTGTTGTGTTTTGAAACAGGGTCTCTTGGGCCAGGGATGTAGCTCAGTGGCTCCGTGCCTTCCTGGCAAGCACAAAGTCTTGAGTTGGATCTCTGGTATCAAAAAAAAGAAGTGGTCTCACTATGTAGTTCAGGCTGGCCTTAAATTCATTACATAGCCCAGGCTGGCCTCAACTCACAGCAATCCTCCCGAGAATCCTGGGGTTACAGGCATTTGTCACCACATCTAGCTAAAGAAATTTTTGATATATATATCCCAAATGTTCCTACGTACCCTAATTACTGAGCCATTTAAGTTTTTCTATCTGCATTGAATATACTATGCACACTACATTACTCACCTTGGGTGTTTTAGTAAAATTTATATGGTTATATACTAGCCTGTACTGTTTTTAGAGCCCTTCATCCTCAGAAGCTCTTTTACTAGTTTGATTTGGTTTGGTTTGCTCCCCACCCTCGGGATTGAACTCAGGACCTTGCGCTTGCCAGACAGATGTGATGCCACTGAGCTACATCCCCAGCCCTTGATTTGCTTGGTTTTCCGTCTTTTACCTCTTTTCAAGTAAGTCAGGTCACAGATCTAGTCAACCACCAATCGGCTGTTTGTATAATTTTGTCTTTAAAATTTCATGTAAGCAGAAATATTTTAGCCTTTTGTGTTTGGCTTTTTTTCACTTGGCATGCTTTTGGAGCTGATCGTTGTTTCAAATATTAATTTTGTACCCTTTTGAGCAATTTACGTTTTAAATTATTATTGATTCTGTACTCAAGACAAGTTTCACAAAACACTCCTAGTCCATACTGTTTGAAGTAAAAACTAAAATTAGCATCAATTATAGTATTTAAGTAAAACAAAATCCTAAGTAATCATACTCATGCTGTTTCCTGTTCGTAAATTCATTCCTGTCTAGCACAGAGAAGAATGCTCTGGACATATCTTGCACACTGTGGGGGTTTTGTTTTGTTTTCGAGAAATTTCAAATAAGGAGGGAGAAGACTGATAATGAACTTACTTGTATCTTGTCACTTAGCTTCAACATTTTTTGTTCGACATCACTGACCCTTTCTTTTTTTTTTTTTTTTTTTTTTTGGTGATTGAACTCGGGACCTTGTGCTTGCGAGGCAGCCCGCGAAACCACTGAGCTAAATCCCCAGCCCTACCTACCCTTTCCTGAATCATTTTGAAGCAAGCCTGGACATTTCATTTTATTTGTAAATAGTTCATTGTGTGTCTGCTAGATACAGACAAACATAACAGCAGCACTACAAAAATTTTTTTTTTTTTTTTTGTACCAGGGATCGAACTCAGGTCCTTGTGCTTGCGAGGCAGGCAGCAGAACCACTGAGCTAAATCCCCGGCCCAGCACTAAAGATTTTAATGGTAGCAAAAGCTATACAATACTCCTTTGAAATGAAAATTATTCCATCTTAATCCAAAACGATGACATTTAAAATGGATTTTGTGTACAGCTGTTTCAATTTCCCTGTCTGAAAATGAATGATTATAAATTTCAGGCAAGTGTAAAAGAAAATCTAGGGCGGTTTTTTTGGTTTTGATTCTTTATTAGTAATGTTCTCTTCCAAATGTTAGGAACATAATAGGTAAAGTTTGTTTGCTATAACAATTTCTTTGGAAAACCCTGGGTGGTCCTGAATCACCATGATTTTATTACATTTCTATGTTACTTAACTTCAGCTTAAGAACAATAATAATATCTTTTCCACATGCCAATTATGTTACCTAAATGTTATCTTGAAATACACATTCTTTTGGATTAGAAAATTTATGGATTTTACTTATGTATCATATCCTCCATTTAATCTTGACAACTGGTGAACTTTGGGTATGATTCTTAAATTCTCTGAACAGAGGCTATTAGAGGCCGGGGTTTAGCTCCGTAGCACTTCACCTGCCTCGAAAGTAGAAGGTCTTGAGTTTGATCCCCAATACTTGGGGGGAAAATTGAGTGCAGGCTAAGGGTATAGCTCAGTGGTAGAGTAGTACTTCCTGAGCAAGCTTGCAGTCCTGGGTTTGAGCCCCAGGAAACCTCCAAACAAGGGCTGGGGATTTAGCTCAGTGGTTCTGCCGCCTGCCTCGCAAGTGCAAGGACCCAAGTTCAATCCCTGGTACCAAAAAAAACCACCCTCCAAACAAAAGAAAAAATTGGTGCAGCCTTAAAATTTAGTTAAATGTTGAAACCTCAGTATATACAAAATGGAACTATTTGGTAGCCTTTGTTTTTTACCCTCACTACTAGAGAGTGAACCAGGGTCTCCAACATGCCAGCTGGGCACACTCTGTGGCAGTGGTGGCAACCTGCAGCAGGCTGTATCATTGAAAGCTCTAAAAGGTTCTGCATCACTGCCTAGAGCTTATAGTTTTTTTAATACTAACACTGTATTTTGCAGTTGTTTACTGCTCTATTGTGATTGCTTAATAATTTTTCTACTTTGTTTTGACCAACTTTTCAAGTTCTGTAAATATGTCAGATTAAATTGTGGAATCAGGGCTGGGGATTTAGCTCAGTGGTTCCGCTGCCTGCCTCGCAAGCGCAAGGACCCAAATTTGATCCCTGGTACCAAAAAAAAAGTAAATTGTGGAATCAATTTTTCTTTTTTTTTTTTTTTGGTACCAGGGATCAAACTCAGGACCTTGCGCTTGCCAGGCAGGCAGCAGAGCCACTGAACTAAATCCCCAGCCCCTGGAATCAAATTTTAACAGTACAAGAAATCCTTAAAATGATCTTACCATATTCATCTGAAAACTAAAAGTTTTGTACAATTTGAAATACTGGGTTTCTTTTTTCTTTTTTTTTGGTACCGGGGATCGAACTCTGGTCCTTGCGCTTGCGCAGCAGGTGGCGAAACCACTGAGCTAAATCCCCGGCCCTCTACTGTCTTTATTTGGTATGGATATTGCCTGAAAAACAGCTATGTGTGCCTAAGATGGACAATTTGAAGAAAACTATTTAAATATTTTATTACAGGTTCTAAATGAGAAGAAACTTCAAGAAGTTGATAGTTTGTGGAAAGAATTTGAAACTCCAGAGAAAGCAAATAAAATGTAAGTAGTCTGAAAACTTCAACTAGTTTTTATTAGTTGTGCATTAGAGTGAACAGCACCTTAGAATTAATATTTTATAGATATTTTAAAACAGAATTGTGAAGTAAGTGTAAATTTCTGTCAAAAATAATAATTGTAAACCAGGTCTGGCAGTGCACATCTATAATCCCACTACTGGGGAGACCGAGGCAGGAGAATCACTGCAAATTCCAGAGCCTTGTAAATATTGAGCCCAGGCAAGTGTGCTACCAAGGTAACATACATTCCTAGCCCTGGATTTAACATTTCACCAAGTTTTTTTAAATTTCCCTGGGGCTAGGAGGTGGCAAGTAGCCAAGGGATAGTGTTCTTAGCATGTACAAGGCCCACAGTTCAATCCTGGTACAGCCAAAAAAAAAAAAAAAAAGTGTTAAGCCCAAGGAAATGGCATGCTAAACCTTTAGGGAAACAAATACAGAGGTGAAACATTCATGGTAGTGAAAACCCCAAGTATTGAGAGATGTGAACAAATGCCACTTCACAAGGTAGAAATAGGGTAGGATGTATTAGATTAAGATGGGAATTACTACTTTTCCTTTAAATTTTGTATTTTTAAATGTGTATTTTAGGGAATACCTGCATATTACCTTGCCAGGTAAGAAAATCTTGTTTAAGATAACATAGCTTCAAGCAACTAGTTTTCCTTTTTAAAAGGCCTATGTGCTTTGCTGGGTTAATCTGACTCATTGAGGGTTTTTGTTTTTTTTTTAATTTTTTGAGACAAGGTCTCACTGTTAGTTCAAGCTGGCCTTGAACTCACTGTGTAGCCCAGGGTGGCCTCAAATTCAGGGCAGTCCTCCTGCCTCAGCCTCCCAAGTGTTGGGATTACAGGCGTGTGCCACCACGCCTGGCAATCTGATTCATTGTTGTCAATGATGTATTCCTGTTGGAACTGAATCTAAATGATCTAACTCAAATATTCGTCACTACCACTGAGGCAACAATGAATTTGTGTACTTTGTGTGTGTTTCAAAAATGTATTTGTGTGTGTGTGTTTTTGTTTTGTTTTTTGAGACAAGGTCTCACTATGTATTTTAGTCTGGTCTTGAACTCATTATGTAGCCCAAGCTGGCCTCAAACTTGTGGCCATCCTCCTGCCTCAGCCTCTCAAGTGCTAGGATTACAGGCGTATGACACCATGCCAGGCCTTATTATTTTCTTTATAAAATATTACTTGCTCATAAATTTTCTAATGGTATTTGTACTGGATAGGCAAATGTCATGAGGTTCTGACCTAAGGGCGACTTATACTTTTTCTTGAGTAAATTCTATACTGCGTAGTCCCATCCCTGGTCCTGTCCTGTCGTCACCCTCCCACCCACCCCCGCCTTGGGCTTTCAAGGAAAGAGTGGTACCACTGAGCTAAATTGCCAGTCCTTATACTGTGTAGTAGATGTCATGTCCAGCTTTAAGCAGCAGGCGTTCTGTTGAAGCTTCATCTGTTCTACACATCCTTGAAAGCCTACAGCTCCTTTCTAGGCCAACATTTAGGAAAACTAGTCATAGTGTCAAAAATGCTCAACACTGCATCCAGCTCCCAGGGACACGTAGTTTTCTTTTATTGGTGTGTGCCTTGGAAACATCCAATGCTACTTTCTCATGTTGTAACTTGCAGAATCAATGTTCTCCTGTAACGTGTTTTTTCTCTTTTAATTCTAGAGTAAAGCTAAAACATTTTGAGAAATTTCAGGATACAGCAGAAGCATTAGCAGGTAAAGTCAGAAACTAGAAGCTTGCTCTTTTAAATCTTGGCAATTACTTTTTCTCATTAAAAAGGTTGTTTGCTTCAGTTGCCTGAGTTAACCTTATTCAATGTTGTCAATGATGCATCCTTAATAGAACTGAATTTAAGTGATCTAACTCAAATTCGTCACTACCACTGAGACAACATTGAGTTAGCTTTTTTCACTATAGGGCTGGTTTCTCCCATGTGATGAGAGGTGAGAAGTGGTTAAATTGACCTCCCTGTGGAAACCAGCAGCATAATGCTGAAGCAGTTCAGTAAAAGCTGTTCTACAGGGACCGAGGTAATGTGGTCACATACACAGCTCTCTAATCTAAGGGTAAAGTGGAGAATAGCCACAGTTCACAGTTGAAAAAATACTAACAAAGCTGTCCAGGGATATACATTTTCAATTCAAGAAAGCATGTCAATATTATTCAAAATTATAGAGAGAAGAATTTTTTTTATACATGCACAAACTACACAGTGGCATACAAATTTTGTTTATATAAAGGAGTGTTGGTTTTTAAAGTTTGAGAAAAAATGGTTTAAACTGGATGTCACGTGAGACAGTAGACAAAGTGATGTTTACTAACTATGAGCAACTTTGGGGGGGGTGCGTACCAGGGATCGAACTCAGGACCTTGCGCTTGTGAGGCAGGTGGCGGCACCACTGTGCTAAATCCCTGGGTGCTAAATCCCCGGCCGCTAAATCCCTGGCCCAACCTGTAATGTTTATTAAAGTTGCCACCGCCTGCCTTGCAAGTACAAGGTCCCCAGTTCAATCCCTGGTACCCAAAAAATAAATACTACGGGTTTTTTGTTTTGTTTTGTTTTGCAAAGTAGTAGCCAAAACAGAGTGGATATAGTTGCTTGAATTGTTAATTGTAAATCAGCTAACCATTCCATGGTATAATTTGAAAATGAAGAACTGGAAGGAAGATTATAGCTTACGGTTGGGTAAGAATTTGACAGATGGAAATAATTTTGTCACTCAATCGCAGGGGAAAGAGGGTTCTCAGAGTGAAAATTGGGAATCCAAATAAATATACTGAAATGTTAATAGGGCAGATTTCTTCATCAACACATTAGTAATAAGTGCCTCCTATAGCCGCAAAGTACAAGTATGTTACTGTTGCACTGGAGAATTTCTTAAAAGACCTGTTTGCTACCACTTTGAGGGTGGGTAGAGTTGTGGTAAAGATCCCAAGGAGATTGTGTTAGCTATACTCCAGCTCTAGGGGGTGTTGTTCACATAGTTCATAGTGTGACCTCCTCCTGGAATTGTCACGTACTACACCCCTTATCACAGCTGGCTTCTGCATTCTTTTTTCATATCCCCTTCTTAGTATATGTGCTGCCGAAGCGAGCACTCATATCCCTTTCTTAATATGAGATATTTCTCACAGTTCTGTTAACATATTAGAAGGATAAGTCAATCTTTGCCTGAACACAAAGCAAGTTTTTTTTTTTTTCTTCTCAGTACTGGGAATCAAACTCAAGACCTTCCTCTTGCGAGGCAGGTGCAGCGCCACTGAGCTAAATCCCTGGCCCAAAGCAAGTTTTTTTTGTTTTGATACTGGGGATCAAACTCGGGACCTTCCACATGCAAAGCAGGCGATAGCACCACTGAGCTAAATCCCTGGCCCCAAGGCAAGTTTTTAACATTAATAGCTAATGGATTGGTCCCAGCATGATGTTACGATTCATGCTCACGACTTCACAGTTACTTAATCCTTGAAACAATCCTGAGGTAAATATCAGTTACATAGAGGAAACTCAAGACAAGAGGTATTTCTGAATTCACTTACTTACTTTAAGTGGAGAAAATGCCATATAGGTCAGAATTGAAAGTCCAGTCTCAGGCTGGGGATGTTGCTTGGTAACAGAGTGCATGCTTTACATGTTCGAGGCCCTGGGTTCAAGCTCAGAAAACCAAAAATGAAAAATAAAAATTAAAAAAAATTTTGTATCTCCCTAGTCCAGCTTATCTGTAAAGCACAGACTGTGCTCTAAACTGTCAAAGCCTTAGATTCTAACACAGCATCTGGGGGATTATTATCAATATTTTCAAGGGGCTGGGGATTTAGTTCAGTGGTGCCACCACATGCCTCTCAAGCACAAGGTCCTGAGTTCAGTCCCCCGTACCCTAAAAAATATGTTTTCTGGTAAATGAATGAATATAATGAGCTCTATCAAGAATTCAGGCATGCCAGATGTGGTGATGCACTCGTGTAATCCCAACACTCAGGAGGCTGAGGCAAGAAGATCATTGCAAGTTTTAGGCCAGCCTGGGGTACATAGTGAGTTCAGGCCCGGCCTGACCTACATATCATGACCCTGTTTCAAAATAAAAAGAATATAGTCATTGAAGCCTCTTAGGTGCCTGTTGCTATTTGCTTTTACCACAGATGAACATCACCTTATTGAGTAGAGTCCTTTCATGAGGATTATCTTTGGACTGATGGTTAGAAGGAAGTTTTGAGATGACAGGACCAAAACTGAGTGGCTGTGAATGTTCTAGCATACATTTTAAATCTCATAATTTCATTTATTTTTTTGCTTATTTTTTTTTGTTCATTTGGTTTGGTTTTTGAGATAAGGTCTTGCTAGGTGGATCAGGCTGGTCTTGAACTCCCTATGTAGCCCAGGTGGGCTTTGTGGCAGTCTACCTGCCTCAGCCTCCCAGGTGCTGGGATTACAGATGTGTGTCACCATACCCAGCATCTCATAACCTCAGAGTTTGGTGGGGTATGATACCAAGATTCTATTTAGTCTCAAAAGAGAAGTTCATATATGCCATTTCCATGGAGAGGTTTTATATCCTCCTCCCACCCCATTGAACTCAGGACCTTGTGCTTGCCAGGCAGGTGCAGCCACAGAGCTACATCTCTGGTGAGAGGTTTGTTTTCACTCTTGGTCATGTTTTTATGTTATGTACAATAATAAACTTCTTGATAAAGGGAAAATAAGTTTATGTTAGATCTAGTATAGAAGTTTTTTTCTTAAGAAACAAGGAGGGCCAGGGATTTAGCTCAGTGGCCACCACCTGCCTCGCTAGTGCAAGGTCCCAAGTTTGATTCCTGGTACCCCCCCAAAAAAGAAAAAACTCTAGGTTAAAATTAAAAGCAGGTTAGGGCCGGGGGTTTAGCTCAGTGGTTTCGCCTCCTGCTGTGCAAGCACAAGGACCTGAGTTCGATCCCCAGTACCAAAAAAATAAAAAATAAAAAAATAAAAGCAGGTTATACGCAACATTAAGAACCAGGTACACAAAGTTCAATTTGAGATTTTTATTTAATTATTTATTTATTTTTGGTGCTGAGGATTGAACTCGGGACCTTGCACTTTGGAGGCAGGCAGTGGCCCCTCTGAGGTAATTCCCCAGCCCCAATTTGAGATTTTTCATTATTAAAAGTTTTTAATTAATGATGGTATTGGAGATAAAACTCAGACCCTTGCTCATACTGAGCAAGCACTCTACAACTGAGTATATCCCCAGCCCAAAGATTTTGAAACTTATATAAGGAAAGAATAAAAGAAGATTCTTACTAGGTGGATCATAAGGAATGAAAACACAAAAAGTAAGAGATTAGAATCAATGAAAAATAGCTTGTATCTTGGCATATTAGACTGTAGATACCCCGCAGGAACCATGCAAGAGGCGGCTGGGTTTTGTCCTCACCTTTAATCTTCCCAGAAAATAGATGGAATGGATATATATCCAAATGGGTAGAGATGGGATTGGGGGGGGAAGTGCAAGTACCTGACTGATAAAGCAAACTGCTTGACCTTAGAAATTGGAGGATCCTTCTTGTCAGACATACTTTTTATTTTAATTAATAATATTTGTTTAATTACTAATGTTTGTAGTACACAACCTGCCAGGCATACTTTCAACCTCAAACAAATGTCGTATGAGGTGTTAGTCCATGTGGGTCTTTAAGATAGAAGTTACATCTAAGGGATGGTGAGTTAGTTATAAAGCAGCAGATTTACAACTTGCCAAAAGTAAAAGTAGTCTTGCAATAGTTCACCTTTAGAAGTAAGGTTTATAAGTAGAGGCCTGATAAATCTGGTTTGGAAATTAGTAAAAAGTACGCCTCCCTCTACCCAAATTTGCTTACACTGTGGCAGAATCTTCAAAATGAGTGCATTCTTTTTTACCAGTTTGTTTTGTTTTAGTTTCTTTGGTACCGGGAATTGAACTCAGGAGCTTGCACTTTTGAGGCAAGCTTGGTGCCACGGAGCTAAGAACCCAGCCCTCCTTTTCACCAATTTTTGCATGCTTTTAGGGTATTCGAAGCCTAGGACATCATGATAATCTACTGAAATGAGAGGAGTGTGAATCTCTTCACCAAGTAGATTGTATTTTGTGCCATTTTATAATTCTGTCCCTAAGTTCATGAGATTTGTGTGACATAGAGAAAGGAACCCTGAAGGCTGGGATTTAGCTCAGTGGTGTCACACCTGCCTCACAACCACAAGGTCTTGAGTTCGATCCCAGTACCAGAAAAAAAAGAAACAGGAACCCTGGACCTGGTGTAGGTCCTCCTGGCTCTAGAGCAGAAATGATGGTGGAAAGATCAAATGTGACTGTAAAATATGTAATTAGTTTGCTTTTTTTTTTTTTTTTTTTGTATCTAGGATTGAATTCAGGACCTTGTGCTTTCGGGGCAAGTGATGGCACCACTGAGCTAAATCCCGAGCCTGTAAAATATGTAATGAAAATAATTGCATTGATCATTTAGTTTCAGAAATAACATTTGATTTGCTTTAAGACAAGCTTCACAATTGAAAATCTAAGTTGCCGGGGATTTAGCTCAGTGGTTCCTCTGCCTGCCTCTCAAGCACAAGGACCTGAGTTCGATCCCCAGTACCAAAAAGATAAAAATCTAAGATAACTTTTTTTTTTCCCTGGGAAGCATTCACAGCTCTGATGGAGGGCAAAATCAATAAGCAGCTGAAGAAGGTTCTGAAGAAAATAGTAAAAGAAGCCCATGAGCCTCTAGCTGTAGCTGATGCTAAACTAGGAGGAGTCATAAAGGTAAGGTCATGGACTGTGAGTATGGATAGCTCAGTGGTATAGTATGTGGTTGGCAAGCACATGGCCCAGCATTTAATCCCAGCACTATCAAAACGAATGAATGAATAGTAAAGTTATGATTTTCTTTCATGCCTGGTAGCCAGATCTCACAACATACTAACTACAAAGCCCTCTGTAAATAGAAAAACTAAAAGGAACAAATTAATGACATCCGTAATCCTGTGCAACAAGTATAGGTCCTCAAACTTCATCATCTTTCTGTATTCTACATAATAATCAGTTTTCACAAGATTACCAGAGCCAAGCATCAAAGTAATATTACTCATTGTAGAGAATATAAGTAAGTGTGGAACTGCCGTCTTCCAGTAATTCGCCAAAATGACGAACACAAAGGGAAAGAGGCGGGGAACCCGGTAGATGTTCTCTAGGCCTTTTAGAAAACAGGGTTGTTCCTTTGGCCACATACATGCGAATCTACAAAAAGGGTGATACTGTAGACATCAAGGAAATGGGTACTGTTCAAAAAGGAATGCCACACAAATGTTACCATGGCAAAACTGGAGGAGTCTGCAGTGTTACCCAGCATGCTGTTGGCATTGTTGTAAACAAGCAAGATAAGGGCAAGATACTTGCCAAGAGGATTAATGTGCGTATTGAGCATATTAAACACTCAAAGAGTAAAGATAGCTTCCTGAAACAGGTCAAGTAAAATGATCAGAAAAAGAAGGAAGGCAAAGAGAAATGTACCTGGGTTCAACTGAAGCGCCAGCCTGCCCCACCCAGAGAAGTCCACTTTGTGAAAACCAATGGGAAAGAGCCTGAGTTGTTGGAACCTATTCCCTATGAATTCATGGCATAAGCTGGAGATGTAGCTCTGCCATGCAGCACCTAATGAGCAGCTGAATGCCCTAAGCCCTACTTCAAAATAAAAAATTATCCTGTGTTGTAAGGATGGTTTTCTTAATTGAACAGGTGTGTGGTGCCTTTACCTCAGAGAAATATTTGGAGCAGATTCTCATTATACCCAGTTAATTGTGTCAGGTCTTTACTCTTCAGTGTTTTTCTTGCTGAAAGATGTGAGGTATTGTGCAGATGTATACTCAAGTGGCCAAATATTTATGAAACATTTATATTGGTTTGAAGATCCTCTAAATCACCTTGGGGACAAGATGTATCAAAATAAATGGAAGTCAGTATATGGCATTTCAGTTAAATTGTTTAAAGCACCCTTATGTATGTTCTAGTTCTGAATTGCTTTGACCATTTCTTGAAACCCTTGGAAAATTTGTAAACACTAGAGATTTTGTTTAATTTATTATTAGAACATGTATTTGTAGTACATGATGATTACAGTCCTCATGGGAAGTTGGTGCATGTTCGCAAACACAGTACCACAACCCACCCCCTTTTATTTAATCTCTCCAACAATAGAAGCTTAAATGTTTGCAGTTCTGGAGGCTAGGAAGTCCTAGAACAAAGTGCTGGCAAATTTGGTGTCTGGTGAAGTTCTAGTCCCCTGCTTCAGAGATGATGCCTTGTTGCTCTCCATCAGAGGTACAGTACATGCACTATCCTCACCTGGTCAGAAGAGGGAAAAGCGGTGGATTTCGAATGAGGCGTAAGACTAGTTTCCCTAGACCCTTTTCAAGGGGACTGACAAATTATAAACAGCCTTAGCCTTTGTCATTCAAACAGAATCCTCACTATAGCATGCCTCAAGTCTGTTTTGTTTATATTCTATGTGTAATGTACCCAGTTGCTACCTTCTTAGGTTATATTTACCATGTTTTTGTATCTGTGTTTAGCGTTCTGTCCAATACTGGGCTCATCTTGACAATCTTTTTGTATTCCCAAGTAGTAAATGCTTTGGGTGAGTAAAAGGTTCTAATCAAAAAAAAAAAAGAAAAGAAAGAAAATATAAGTAAGTGATGGGTCGGGGATTTAGCTCAGTGGTTCCGGTGCCTGCCTCACAAGTGCAAAGTCTCGAGTTGGATCCCCGGTACAAAAAAAAAAATTAGCTTCGACCTTGCTACTGATATATAATATGTTAGTGTGCTGTATCCTTTTGGTTAGCCACAATTTTTTTCTTTCAGTCATAACATTTTTATAAGCATATTTATTAGCAGTCTTTTGGAGGGAGCGTAGTTGCTAGAGATGAAACAAAAGTGAGAGTAGAAAGACTGGAAAACTAACCTGCCAAGCCCAAAAAGCAGAATAAGAACAGTTGTGATAAATGTGATATTAATTATTTCAGTGAGGGGTTGATTGTTGTGGTCATAAGCATACCTAGTGAAGTAAAGATTATGTTGTGGGTATCTTCAGGAAAGAACCATGTGAAATGGCAGTAATAGGCTAAAGTGATTTAAGGATATTAATAAATCAGACTTGTTAATTTAAGTTCGCTTACAGCCAGGCATGTTGGGGCATGCCTGTGATCTAGCACTTGGTAGGGTAAGGCAGGAGGACCATGGTACGTTTGAAGCCAGCCTGGACTACATAGTGAATTCAAGGCCAGCCTGAACTGCATAGTGAGACCCTATCTCAAAAATTTAAAATGTTCATTTACATAAATTATTTCTAATACAGTCAGGCAATGAGATTTCCTATAATTACGTTCTTTGACATGACCAGGAGCCTTACTTCATATTTTTTGTGTTAAAAACTAAATTTTAGCACATTAAGGAGCAAGCAACATTTTTATTACCCCAAGACTGAAATATTCTAATTCTGAATTCTGCATATGGACATTATGCTCAAGAGAATGAATACCTGTAAAAATGTAGTTCAGGAAATAATACTGTTTGAATGATTACACAGGTGATATAAAGATACCAAAAAGGTCCATAGAAGGGCATGGTGCTGAATTGGCAGGATTATGGGTATCTTGAATTTGTTCTTTTTAGTTTCTTTATTTACAGAACTTTTATGCTGAATATCATGTATAACATACTAAGGATTTTATTCTTGGACATGATACAATACATAACACTCTTGAATGCCTAGTGCGTGAGATGAACTAGAACTGTGTAGATCTGTATGTGGAATTAGCAAATACACTGCACAGTGGAAAAGTGCAGAAAAAATTATTACCCTGTTTGGGGTACATGAAGATTTAACTTTTTAAACACTTGCTTCTTTATACTTAGACATTAATGTTAGGTCTGTATTGGAATTTTTTTTTTAAGTATTTTTAAGGGATGCTAATATTTAAAAGTAGGGGAAGAGCCTAAGGTTGGAACTTAGGCTTCATTCAGTACCCTTCTGTATAGTACTTTTGATTAAAAAATCTTGTAAGTATATTCCCTTTAACTTTTTAAAGTAATAAAGAAAATCACCAAAGAGGAACAAAACTAGTGAGTCAGATTGTATTCATTTGCAGCTATTTTTTTTTCTCCTTCTTAAATTCTTTTATTGGTATATTTTAGGTATACATTACATTTACATTTATCTTTGGGTGCTTGTACCTGTACATGATGTATGTTGGTTCTTATTTTTTCCCCATTACCTGTGCGCCCTTCACCCCTCCACCCTTTCCTATTTACATACTTCACTTCCATTTTTTTTTTCTTTTCTCATAATTTTTCCTTTCCCTTCTTTCCTGTCCCCATCTCCCACCTCATTTGCAGCTTTTGATTCATACACACAGCAAGCTGTTTTCCAGAAAGTTTGTTAGGTTTGACTTCACTTGAATGTTCTTCCATAAATGTACTAGAAACTTCCACTTTGTCAAACTGAGGAATGCATGTACATAAAACAGTACCAGTTTAACATGTAAGAAATTGAGGATAACTTTCATTATTTAAAACAAAATATACTTCTTGCAGGAAAAGCTGAATCTCAGTTGTATCCATAGTCCTGTTGTTAATGAGCTTATGAGGGGAATCCGATCACAGATGGATGGATTGATCCCTGGGGTAGAACCACGTGAAATGGCAGCCATGTGTCTTGGATTGGCCCACAGGTAGGAATTACTGGAAAATAGTATATTTATATTCAATAAGCACCGTTCTGAAGATGTTCAAAATATTTAATCACCAGTCCAGTTATTTAAATATGGGATGACCAAAAATTGCATATTTTTTGTAATTTTTTATAAGCTAATATAATAAAATATAAAAATGACAACTTTATCAAATTTATTCAGTGCAAAAATTGACTGGTTCAGAGCCGGGGATTTAGCTCAGTGGTTCCACCGCCTGCCTCGCAAGCTAAGGACCCAAGTTCAATCCCCGGTACCAAAAAAAACAACAACACAAAACATGCTGCCTGAGTGATGCCCAGGGCAAACTGTTAGGTGGTTAATCCTTACAACCTTGTGAGAGAAGCTAGGGATGTAGTTTAGTGGCACTGCACCTGTCTGGCAGTATACCAGGTAAGTGGTAAAGGCAGAATTTGTACCCACACAGTCTGTCTCTTTTGTCTGGACTCTCAAGGTTTTTTGTTGGTACTGGGGATTGAACTTGGGACCTTGTGCTTGCAAGGCAGGCGGCAGAACCACTGAACTAAATCCCAGGCCCTGGGCTCTCAGTTTTTTTGAGACGAGGTCTCATGTAATTTAGGCTGGCCTTGAACTCATAATGTAGCCCAGGCTGGCCTCGAACTCACAGCAGTCCTCTTTTTATTTCTGCTGAATCATATGTTACTCCACTACCCATTTAGCTTTTCCCAAAATTCTCTAAAGTTACCTTCCATTTTGTATCACTGTTTGCTTGTAGGATTAGGCAAAGAGAAGAACTTTAACTGTCCCGTGTTTAACCAGAGGTCCCTTAGCACATGTTACTGCTATACTACAATCATCAAAAGCTTAACATTCTGTGAAATTACATTAAAAATTGTGAAGTAAAGGATTATGTGTAGAATACAGTTGTGCCTTGGTTCATGAACTTGTTTCCACAATTCTGGTCAAGAACAGAAGCAAAATTTTTCCAAATGCTTCTGTTTGCAAACTGAATTGCTTCCAAACAAGCATTCATGAACCAACGTACCACTGTACTTAAAACCCATGCAGCTTTGTAACCTGAGCACTTTTAAAAATAATTCTAGGGGGCTGGGGATTTAGCTCAGTGGCACTGCTTGGCTCAAAAGTGCAAGGTCCTGAGTTCAATCCCCAGTACTGGAAAAAAATTCTAATTAGCACAGCTGAAAGTGGTACACACCTGCAAAACTATCTGTTAGGAAGGCTGATGAAGGAAAAATCTCGAAATGAAGGCCACTATGAGGAACTCGGTGAGACTCTTGTCTCAAAAGGTTAGGGATGTAACTCAGTGGTACAGTACTACAGTAAACAGTCTATGTCTATAAATTTTAAAAGATGAACAAGGGATCAAGGGTGTAGCTAAGTAGTAGAGCCCTTAATCTAGCTTGTGTGAAGCCGTGGCATTTGATTGCCAGTATGGACAAAAAAGGTGAGTGTAGATTAACGAAAAGGTTGAAGCTGCTGAGTCATAGAGATAAGAATGGAGTGGACAAAGTCAGGAAGAATTTTGTAATATAAGTTTTTAAGATAGAACAAATAGCTGTACTGAATCAAGAACCAAACTTAGTATTTATCAGCACTGTGAGTAACAGTGGTTCTCTGAAGGGCAGTACTAGACAGTGTCCATAGATATTTTTAGTTACCACCTACGTGTACTAAAGTCTGGTCCCAGCATCTTATTTATTCATAAAGGTCAGAGATACTGAAAACATCCTACAGTCCTAGGATAGTCTCCTACAACAAAGAATTCTGAGGCCAGGGCCCGGGATTTAGCTCAGTGGTTCTGCCACCTGCCTCGAAAGCGCAAGGACCTGAGTTGGATCCCCAGTACCCCCCCAAAAAAATTCTGAGGCCAAAGTGTGAATAGTACCATTATTAAGAAAACCTTGCATATAGTATTGTTCGTCTATAGCTTTCTGTTTTCAGATGTTGGAGTGCTGCAGTGTTTCTTACTTGGGGTAATATAAAGCCTTAATGTCTGCAGAAAAATTGCATGTGCAATAGGACTTTGCTTTGTGTAATGTTTTCCTATTTGTCATTCATACATAAACTTAGGCATATTATAAGAATATAGATAAGTTGTAATAGGACAAACATATTTGTATTAAATACGTACTTTCTGATCTTGCTTGCATAGTACATTTGTATATAACTGGTTTTTCTTAGAAAAACTGAGAAAGTAACTCTAAGGAGAGGGATTTGGGTTAGAAATTAAGAAAGGATATAGCTGTATAAGCCAGGCTGGCCACAATCCTCCTGCCTTAACCTCCTAGGTACTAGTATTACAGGTGTGTACCACCACGCATTGCTCAAAAACAACCAAAAAAAGAATTATTTTTAAGATGTGAGTTTAAATGCTTTTCCTAGTTGCTATTTTGCTAATTTGGTTTTCCCCACTCTCCCCAGCCTGTCTCGATACAGATTGAAGTTTAGCGCTGATAAAGTGGATACAATGATTGTTCAGGCAATTTGTAAGTATAGCACATGTCACATTCTCCTCTCTGCTCTGTGTTTTTTTCTTTTTGAAACTGTCTGTTGGAAGAGAAAGGAGATGAGCTAGACCAGTGATGGGTAACCTTTTAGAGCTTTCATTTATGATGCAGAGCCAGATGTGGCACACGTGCCATATGTTTGCCACCAATGAGCTAGACGTTTTATTTTTTTAATTTTAATATTTTTGGGGAGGCTAAAATAAACCTTTATCCCTTTAAGTGATGTGTGTCAGGTATTTGGTCAAGCAAGGAAAAGCTGCCCAGTACATCTGGGCTGAGCTGGAGCCACTACAAAAGTGGCGGAGGGCTGGGGAGGGCCAGGTGTGCATGCTGCAGCTCAGGGGAAGGGGTGGCTCTTATTTTCAGTGGAAGCACAAAGCATGGTATCCTCTTGTTCACTGTCCTTGGGGAGGCAGAGACCCTCTACTCTGTAGGCAAAGCCTGGTGCACCAGTCTAGACCTTTTAGTAAATAAAGTAGATAAATTGGTAGCCTGTCCATTCCTTTCCTTTTTGGTGTTATGTGGGTTTTCTACATCTTCCACCGGCAGTGCTTCTGGCAGGCAACACGGTGTCCTGCTGGTCCCGGGTATCTGCCACCTGCGGTGCTGGCACCTCCAGAGGTGAGGCAGACATACATGGTGGGGAGGTCGGCCACCAGAGAGGGCCCCAAGAGTCCCACAGCCAGGGCATGTGTGGATGTGTGAATGATCTAGCAGCCAGTGGCCCAGGTGGTAGTGTAGCTGGTTGCAGTATCAGGTAGTGCTTCATATACTCTCCATTCACCCTGCTGCCTGAGAACATGGTGCTGCGGGCCCACAGAACTCATGACACAGGCAGCCAGCCCAGCACACTGCACAGTTCAAACTCCAAAGTAGAACAGCAGAGTAGAAGAGGGGAAATGATCCATTATAGTGGAACCTTGAAATTTACAGGGATTATGTTCCTGGAGCACCCACAAGTTGTGAAAAACATGAATTTCAAATATTGTCAGAAAAATGCCTATAAACGCTAATTTTTATAGTTTAAACCCTAAATATGCTATGTCTCCCACAGTTATGTGATTTAATAAAATAGTATATTAATAAAGCAGTAGAAGTTTGATCCCCAGTACCAAAAAAATAAATAAAGCAGTAGAAGGTGCAGGGATTTTTGGCAGCACCTTAGCCCCCGCCCACCCCCCGCCATACCAAGGATCAAACTCAGAACCTTGTACTTTTGAGGCAGGTGCGGCACCACTGAGCTAAATCCCCGGCCCCTATCTTAGGATTTTGAGAACACTCAAGAGATAGCTACATGTGGTATAGCAACCTGTTAGGATGCAGGAATGCTGGTGCATCTGCCAAGGATAGGCTACAGGGCAACGCCAATGAGCAGAAAACCGTTGATTGGCTTCTTGCAAACCAACTGCCAAAAAAAATTTTGTGGAGGATATTTCTGTTATCCCCCAAAATTGTGGGGGTTTCCACAAGTAGTTGTTAGATTCTAAGGAGAAAATCTACAAACGACTAAGGCTGCAAACTGAACTACGATTTCTTGAGGATATTACTATATTTGACTAGTTGGAGATAAAACAAATCATAGTATTAACATGCAAACTTATTCATTTGCCTTTCCCACAAACAAGTTTAAAACTCTGGGTGGAGTGTATATAGTTGTGTGTTCTGATTTTTTTCTCTTGACCTTTCCTATTTTTAGCACCTCTTTAGTACTGAGAATTGGGGATTATATACCCAGGACCTTACATGTGCTCAGCAAGTGCTCTACCACTGAGCTACTTTTTCCACCTTTACTTGACACAAGGTGTCGTTGCATTGCCAGGCTGGCCTTGAAATCACAGTGATCTTCCTGCCTCAGCCTCCCAAGTGCTGTGATCACAGGCACATACCACCACACCTGTCTGGTTCTCTTAATGGGTTATTTTGCATGTGGAATAATTTTTTTTATGAACATCAAAGCCATAGCATTTTCTGCTCTTAAAAATCTATGTAAGCCTGACATAGTGGCACATGCTTGTAGTCCTAGCAAGGGAGGCTGAGGCAAGAGGATTGCCACAAGTTTGAGGCCACCCTGAGCTACATAGTGAGACCCTATCTCAAAAAACAACAACCAACAATTGTAGCGCTAGATTGATAACTAAGAGAATTGAAATTAGGGGCTGAGCCCCTTGTACTGTCACACCACGTTTATAGAATTCTTTACAGTAGTCAAATACCCACTAACAGACAAGTAAATAAATAAAATGTCATACATTTACAGTGATACATAGCTTTAAAAAGGAATGAAGCTCTCAGATGGACATGATGGTGATGCCTGTGATCCCAGCATTGGGGAGGCTAAGGCAGGAGGATTGCTGCAATTTTGAGGCCAACCTGGACTACATAGTTTAAGGCCAGCCTGAACTGCATCATGAGACCCTAGAACACAATACTGAAGACCAAAAAGAAATGAAGTTTTTATGCATCCTATGGAGTAGATATAAACCTTGAAGTCATGTTGAGAAATAAGCCAAACACAAAAGGACAAGTAACACACAATTCCACTTATATGAGGTATCTAGAGTAGACATTCATGGAAACCAAAAGTAGTATAAGAATTAGTGGGGGTGGGGCAGGGGATTTAGCTCAGTGGTTCCGCCACCTGCCTTGCAAGTGCAAGGACCCGAGTTTGATCCCTGGTACCAACAATAAAAAAGAATTAGTAGGGGCTTGGCTGGTCACAGTGGCACACATGTGTAATCCCAGCACTTGGGAGGCTGAGGCAGGAGGATCACTGAAAAGTTCGAAGCCAGTCTGAAATACATAGTGAGAACCTGTCTCCAAAAAAAAAAAATTAGGTTTTGGGGAGGTGGGAATGAGGAGTTATCTTTTATTATGTATGAGATTTTCCGTTTCAAGAAGTGTATACTTGCAAAATGTTTAAAGGTAAAGTTTACTATATTTTACCACAATAAACCACTTGTTCCCTTTTCCCTTTTAATCTATTTACAGCCTTGTTAGATGACTTAGATAAAGAATTAAACAACTACATCATGCGTTGTAGAGAGTGGTATGGCTGGCATTTCCCAGAATTAGGAAAAATTATTTCAGATAATTTGACATACTGCAAGTGTTTACAGAAAGTTGGTGAGTACTTTGTTTATCCTTTAAGATGTTGAAAATAACTGAAATTGATACATCCCAGAATGTTAAATTTTTTTCCGAAGATTCCTAGGTTTTAAAAAAATACTTTGTTTTAGAAGTGACGCTGTTTGTTAGATTTCAGAAATAAGGTAAATTTTGGGCTGGGGATTTATCTCAGTGGTTCCACTGCCTGCCACGCAAGTGCAAGGTCCCGAGCTCAATCCCTGGTACCAAAAAAAAAAAGAAAGAAGGTAAATTTTAACTTTGACTTTTGATGGCCTGCAGCAGGGCAAATTTTCCCTTTTTTCATTTTTTTTTTTTTATATATATTTTTTCTTAAAATGGCTTCTGATAAATGTCAGTGAAGTTGCCATGAATAAGAGTGATTGGAGACTGGAGAACTCTGTAATATGTTTAATACTGAGAACTAATACCAAGCACTACAGCTATCTGTACTACTATTGTTATATTCCATTCTAATAGAATTGCTACAGTAATATTAGTAGTGGAGGCTGAGAATCATTAATAAACATGGGTTACGTGGCCATTACATTACCATCCCTCAAATTACTGGCATTAGCTTTATTATAAAATGAAAGTCCTGTCTTTAATCTTTGCTACCTTTTCTGAAATAAATTTTCATGGACTATTTTGTCTTATTTTTTTTACCCAGTTATATATAGTGAGGGGGGATGATGGGGAGAAATTTATCTCTGAAATCAAACTTTCACAAAGGGAAACAGGTCAAACTTCTTGTTCACTTTTATGCAGGCATCCTTTTCATTGGCTTATCTCTAGTTTTCATTTTGACTGTTTGGTAGATTTTATGTAATTTATTGAAAAGTGATTTTTTTCCCCCCTCCTTTGCAAAAATTCCATAGGTGATAGGAAGAACTATGCCTCCGCCACGCTTTCTGAATTGTTGCCAGAGGAAGTTGAAGCTGAAGTAAAAGCAGCTGCAGAGATATCTATGGGAACTGAGGTTTCTGAAGAAGATATTTGCAATATTCTACATCTTTGCACCCAAGTAAGTTATAGCCATGTAGAATCTAGTTGAAGCTCACAGTACTAATAATTATCTGATGACAATGATGATTTTTACATTTATTGTTCACCTGATAACAGTATGAGCGTGTTCAGTCACTACCTCATCTGATGCCATCTTGGTTTGTATGCTGGGGGGGGGGTGCTGCACTAAAATGAAGTTTTGTACTAGCATTGTGTAAATGATGAATTAAATGAAACCCATTAAGAAAACTGATTTTATGATTAAATTTACCTAGGGTCAGTGAATACTCTGATAATTCAGGGCTGTAACGGGGAGTGTGTTTGCTTTGTTCATTAGCAGTAGGGTCTTGTGCAAGACATGGTGGGTGCACACCTATAATCCCAATTCTCAGGAGGGTGAGGCAGTAGGAGCATGACATTGAAAATCCCTGTGTCAGAGAAAAAGAAATGAAGAAATAGGGTCTCACTGTGTTGCCCAGGCTGACCTCACTCACACTCCCAGGCTAAACCTTTCCTGAGTAGCTGCGATAACAAGTGTGTCCCACTGTGCCCGGCCATTAGAATCCAGTGTTTTAGATGTGACTTTTGAACTGTTTTCACACATAATTATTACTGATTTACTCATGGTATTCCTTGTTAGGTGATTGAAATCTCTGAATATAGAACCCAGCTGTATGAGTATCTACAAAACCGAATGATGGCCATTGCACCCAATGTGACAGTCATGGTTGGCGAGTTAGTTGGAGCACGGCTGATTGCTCATGCAGGTGACAGTTTTGATGTAATTTATAAACATGAGTATTTGAGGCTGTTTTCTGGTTTTTAATCTTTAAAATGCATTTGTTAAAATACTAAAGGCCAAGTGTTCAATGATGATTTTTACTTGTTGTGCCTGATTTCCTTTTGGACAATGAAGGTATCTTTAGTCACTACCTCTTCTGAGACACTTGTGCTCCATTGTCAAAAGTTTGTTATGGTTAATTAGAATAGTCAGATGAAATAAAAATTAGCACTTTCATTTTCTTTTTCTTTTTGGTACCAGGGATCAAATTTGGGACCTTGGTCTTTTGAGGCAGGCGGCAGAACCACTGAGCTAAATCCCCAGCCTAAAATTGGCATTTTCATAGGAGCTTATTATGGGTTTGATCCTGAGCACCCCCAAAAAACCAACATTTGAATATAGTTTTTAAAAATGATAACATGAAAAAAAATTGACATGACATATACCTTTGTTTCAGTTTCATTGAGTATGCTATTTTAATAAAGTTGACTCAAAAACATTTTAATCAGTTTGTTAAAAATGTAATACAGGGCCGGGGATTTAGCTCAGTGGTTTCACCGCCT